ACATCTTCCTGCCAAATGTAGCTTGGCTTTCGGTCCTTGGTTGCGTGGGAAACTAACCCCCTCCCCCCACAAATACGAAACAAGGTACAACTTTTAAAAAAAACGAACCTACATCAATACAGAATTGAATAGCAAGTGAAATTCCAAAAGAAAAACAACCGAAAATTCAGCCTTTTTGGTTTATGCGTTTAAAGGTCTATGAACGGGAATGGGCTGGCATCGATAACGAAAATATTTCACACTCAAATTACAAACTGCAGATTTATTTTCTCTTTTTCATTTAAATATTTATATTATAACTTTAATAACGAGGGTTCATTATATCTTTGTTCTTCTATAGTGTTTGTTAAAAATATATGTAGAGGATGTCACACGGTGGCGCGAAGATATGAAGTTTATCTTCGAGTGGTGGAAATATTCACACGATCGAGTGAACGCAGCGAACGAGTGAAATATTTTTCACCACTCGAAGATAAACTTCATATATTCAAGCCAACGTGCAATTTTCTTTTTATTACATAGAAAAATCCACAAATGAAAATTTTTTATTACAACACGCCTCAAGTGAGCGGGAAAACATCGCAAGTGATGTCATCGTTATCCTCACTAGTGAAGAGATGGAAAATATGTTACTCAGGTCCCGGATGTAGTTTGTGCGAAAAATAGGAGTGGCTTATTTCCCAGTAAAACACTCATGTCTATATAATAAATATATACATGTAAAAAAAAGTATAAATACAAGTTAAAAAATTTAACTAAAAAACTAACTATATATAGAAGAGATTTGTTAAAAACTAGTGTGAGCTGCGTCGGTGTTTCAAATGAAACAGTAATGATAAAAAGGTAAATTATACACCGTGAAAAAGATGAAAAAATATAAAGTGAAATTTACTGACGTTTCGGACGCTAGTCCTTCGCCGGAGTAACTACATATATAGCATACAAAACATGAAAATAACAAGCCATTCATACTGAACTAAAGTGTATTGGTCGTTCCGAGGTCGAGAGAGAAAATGTCGCGTATTTCGTCCCCTACAGCCCCACAATGCACTGCAATGCGAACTCGACCCAGTATTTTCCTCAACCTCGGAATGGCCAACAGTTGTTCTAAAAATGTTTCCAAAAAAGAAACAAACCGTGACCATCAAATGCTGAGTAAATATAAACCCATGGTTTCTCATCTGCATACTCATGGGTTAATACGAGTACGTTGTGCTCATTATCACATGGTCTATTTTTAGCAGTCGAAATGAAGTTAATATCATCATTATATTACGATCCAGTTTCACCAATAGTGGATAAAATTAATATAAATAGATGTGAATGAAACTGAATTGTTATAATATTTTTGTGTTTTACCTTAGAAAGTTAATTAAATAAAACATTTTGCTACTTTCTAAATTGTTTTTCTTGTTCAAGAACTAATAAACTTATGTCAGTTATGCGGTGTCTGATTCATCTGATTCATCTTGCTGATGATGATGATGATTTATGAATTTATATAGCCCCCTTTTCTATATGAATATAATCGAAGGCGCTTTACATTGAGTTGTGAATGACAGATTGATGATGATTATGATTTATATAGCACCCTTTAATATGTGGATATAATCAAAGGCACTTTACATGGAGTTCTGAATGACAGATTGATGATGATTATGATTTATATAGCGCCCTTTAATATGTGAATATAATCAAAGGCACTTTACATGGAGTTGTGAATGACAGATTGCTTTTCGTGCAATTTACAAGCATGAGAGATGGTTAGTATGAAGTGTAGGCACTGAGGGTGGTCACTGCTAGGGTTTCTTTACGTCCTCAGTGGTTCTTTAACGTCTTGCTCTAGAAACTTTACTTTGCAATCGAAACATATCTCAGAAAACAAAGGTTTCATCTAACAATGTTACATCATATCACCGACAATACTTTTGTGCAAGGTTGCGCTTTCCTAATTTTACTAAAGCATTACCTAGAGTACGATATGATGGTTTTTTACTGGATTCCTTCCAAAACAAAAACATCTGGAAGGCCTTTTCTCTTATTTCTGAATAATGTATGTCGTCTCTTAAGATTTCTTCTATTTTACTGTTGCATACTTTAAGTTTTCTACCAAGACGTTGCCAAATTTTGATAATATTTCCGGCAAGTTCATCTAGCTCCTCTTCAGATGGTTCATGTGAAATGTTTCTTTTCATTTTCTGTCTCTTTTTAGGTATGCCACCTGTAAAGCGATGTACAGATAAGATATCTGTTAAAAATGTCCCGTGTCCATGACCAATTTTTGTGAAGTGAAATGATTTAACAATTTATGTTTTGTATAGCATCTTTTCTATGCATATATTCAAAGGCGTTTACAATCATGAGAGATATTTAGTATAAGGTGTCGGTACTAAGGGTTGTGATTGTCCGGGTTTCTTTACGTCCTCAGTGGTTCTTTGAAGATGTATGTGGTATGCCCGGGGGGAGGGGGGGGGGTGACTCCCTTATGAAAGGGGGCGAGGGTCGTCGTCGTCCCTCTTAGGGTTTGAAATCAGGGTTTTGGTCCCGCTAAGGGTGATAACGACGGGAATGCGCACCAACTGAATTTTGTGGTCCCTTTTAGGGTACAAGATCTAAAAAAAGGCAAACGATTTGTATATGACGACGTCGTAATACATTCGTTAGAACAGACGGCGTTTGATGCAAATAAAATCGAGAAACCAAACAAAAAAATGTGTTATTGATTGGTCCATCTTAGGGGTGAAATTTCATCACTTCCACGCCCATCATACCAAAATACAGGTCCCTTTTAGGGGTCATTTTCGGAATTTCCGACGAGGAGCCCCGCCCCCTTTTATAAGGGAGTCAGTCAGTTGACCACATCGATGGGTCAGATGGGTGGTTTGGTAGATGGGTGGGTTGGTTGGTGGGTGGTTCGGTCGGTCCGTCCGTCGGTCAGTTTCTAAAGACAGCTAGTTAAGCTTAGATATCATATCTATCACGCTATCTAATAAGAAATACTTTGATAGATTTTCAAACCTGTTGCTCCATTGCCGTGACTATTCCTTTCCAATTGTTGAGTTTCAACCTGTACATGGGACTACAAAGGTACACAACAACCTCAAAAACATGCAAACACTAGGAGAAAAGGAAGGGTTGGTGGTCAATAGGGGGTTAATCTCGTACAGCTCGTTGATACACAAAGATGGAATAAAATTACTGTAATGCCTTTCAATTTCTTATTAAAAAACCAAAACTTAAAATTTCATTTTGATATTTTAAAACTTGCATCCATTTAATAAGTTCTCGAACGGATTCAATTTGAAAATCCAATCAATTAGCACTTATAATTTACTTACCCTCTTGTTGTTTGGTTTGGGAAACCAGTGTGAATATGTCTCCTCTCTTATCAAGGTGTTTGTGTTCGTTTCATCCTCACGACATTCTGCTTCACCAAGCTTCAACTCTTTCTCACTGACAAAGTGCTGACATGAATCTCTTTTACATCCCTTGGTCTCGTGAGAGCTGCATTCCAACTTTGTACAGACTGAACAACGAATGCCATACTCCAATTCCATGTTTTCCACTCGAGGACACGTGTTTTCCATGGCGGCAAAGATTTTATCAAGCAATTTTCGCAAGGACTGACAGAACTTAGTTACTGATGCGCCATCAATGTTATTCTTGTTGTAGACGGTCACGCATATGGTTCGAACCCCTGAGGTAATACATATGTCAAGCTTTCCTTCTTGTCCAACGTTGAACATCCTAACAAATGAAGCATCATAAGATGATACAAGCAAAGAATTAATCAGACAAAGTAATTATCTTTAAGTTGTTGTTGCATCATCATAACGTGGGAGAATCACAGAGCGAAGTTCCAGGCTACGCGACAATGGAGAAAAATTGTAGAAATAGCTTGGTGACAAGGAAGAGAATTGCCTGACACGTGATGCTGGAATTTCCACAAAGCCAAGGAATGAACCCCCAATAAACTCTATCTTTTATCCATGCCACCAGGCAAAGGACGAACAATGCCAATGAATAAGTACGAAAGCAAACAAGCAAATAAAGAATGCAAACACCCAGACGTGACGAAAGCAAACGAAAATACTTATCATGTATTTCTACAAAAATAAATGAATTGTATTAAACATACCTGCAAAAGTTCCGACGAAGCTTTGGTAGACATTCCTTCTTGCCTTGGCTTACTTTTGGCCATTCCTTTTTGCCATGTTCAGCAAGAGCTACAAACAACCTTGGAAAGATGCCCATGGGCAGGTGAACACTCTTGAAACGAATGAGCATTGTTGAAGATTTCTGGTCAGCCAGCAGCTTTTCGATGTCCTCAGTTCCCTTGCTGTTACACAACATGCAAGGAACAAGGTACACGTCTTCTACATTCAGCCTCCACGTACAAATCAGTGAGAACTTTTCCATTATCGTAAGCAAATTGTCAACTGTATTTTGGCCATCACTTGCTATGTCACTCCAAACATGCTCTACTAGAGCTCTTTGTAAAATACCATCGTTTTCCAGTTTTCTCCAATAAGCGGCATACGCCTTCCATTCTTCAAATGGCWTGACTGTGATGACCTTAACAAACATATCGACCAACCACTGTGTATCGATGAATACTTTTCCTGTTTCTTCAAAGTAAATGATTGTCTTTAAGTCATGCAGGTAGTTTAACAGTGTCGTAAACTCGATGGATTCTGTGGCTGTGTTGACGTTGCATTGGGTAGCGATCCCCTTAGCTTCTTCCAAATTAACGTACTTCTTCTGCTCTTGAAGTCTTGAAAGCTCCTCCTCAAATCGCAGCCAGCTGACTGGAATATCTTCATTTACTTGGGGAAGCAATTTAGATAGTTCTTCAACATTCGTCTTCAATCTTTTGGTAGATTCATCCTGTACTTCTTTGTTTCCTGATAATGTGTTATCAACGGTGTAGACATTTGGTACAACGTGCTTACCAAAGGAGTTTTCGGGACGCGTCAAAATCTTACACAATTCTCGAGAAACTTTCTTCGGGTCTTGATTACGAACATCTGCATGAGTGCAAACTACAAATACTGGTGGCAATGCCACTTGGGTTCTGTAGTAAACAGAGTCAACTTCCTTTTTCAAGGTTGTATACGATGAAATACAAGAAAGCCAAAACTCTTGAGCGTCCAAATATGTCATTTGAAAGGGATTCTTGAGTTTTCTTTCTGAGTTGCCATGTTTTACTTTTGGTTGCGCATCAGAACGAAGGTCATTTTCTAAGCTATGAACCAATATATAGATTGACTTTGAAGAYATAAATAACGGGAGAATGACTTCATAGACTTGTTGTCCAGCAAAATCAAGYGTTTTAAAGGAAATTTCGTTTTCGTTCGCTCTCTGGTCGTTCTTAGTGTCCCTGAGGCGTTTGTCTAATAAATTTACCATTTCTTTTGGAACTTTCGAACCATCAGTTAAAATTGATAGTTGTAAGCTGGTATTTTCCATTACTGAGTCTTCAAATTCTTGTTCTTCATCTTCTGCGTCTTTTTGACTTGGGTGCTCACGTGCGGCAACATCTTTGTCTTTTCTTGTCTGATTATTTTTGAATTTTTCAGCCATACATTCATCGCTTCGAATCATTGAAGGATCATCTTTGCCATCAACTTCCTCAAACCGAGAATTCTGAGATACGACTCCAGTAGTGCTGTCTTCATTAGGATTGAAGTCCTCTCCTTAAAAAGATCGGAAATATTAGCAAGGCTCAGCCTTAACCTGCATTTACACGGTACCGGACGAATTTTTAAAAGGGGTCAAAAGGTTGTACGTTTAGGGGTTTCGTTCACACGGGACTGAGCAGTATCCGAACGAAAATATCGTACGCTTCGCCTAGCAGTGAAAATTTGGATCCGGTTCTGTGTAAACAGAACACATTTCTTATTCAACAAGATGCTCTTGGGGCGTGCACTGGGTTGCCTAACGTGCTGGTGTGCTGGAGCTTATTTAACACCTAGTTTTTATATTATGTACCGCTATTTGAGTCTCCAAATTCTTGTTCTTCATCTTCTGGGTCTTTGTCTTCTCTTGTCTGATTTTTTATGAGATTCTCAACCGTACATTCAGCGATGCGGTTCATTACAAAATTATCTTTGCCATCAACTTCCTCAAACCGAGAATTCTGAAGTACAACTCCAGTAGTGCTGTCTTCATTAGGATCGAAGTCCTCTCCTTAAAAAAATCGGAAATATTAGCAAGGCTCAGCCTTAACCTGCATTAACACGGTACCGGACGAATTTTTAAAAGGGGTCAAAAGGTTGTACGTTTAGGGGTTTCGTTCACACGGGACTGAGCTTTTCGAACGAAAATATCGTACGCTTCGCCTAGCAGTGAAAATTTGGATCCGGTTCCGTGTGAACAGAACACATTTTTTATTTAACAAGGTATGCTGGTATGCTGGAGCTTAATTAACATCTAGTTTTTGTTATGTACCGCTATTTGAGGGAGGAGGTACTTTGGAGCACTTTAGATGTGTTTTTCTGCCCGACCATTATAGTTTGAGCTCGTCTGAATTAAATAAAAACTTAAAAATAACCTTTTATCCTTCTCATGTACACTTACAGTGCCGGGGCAACTGTGAGAGCCAATAGTCGTTTACTCGTAACATCAGGGTCAAATTACAATTTTAGGTGCAGTCCAGGTTTGTGATTGCCTCTTGATTCTCTTGCCTAACCGTCGAATTGGCCCCGGTTACAGTAAGTGCACTGTAAAGTGTTTTTTAACATCCAAACCAGTGAAGTGAAGTGGAATGAGACTGGATTAACAGAGTTGCGTTACTGATGTGACTAGTTTTAATATATTTTCCATTTTGAATTACACGAATTACAAGAATCTTGACGTACAAGACTCGATGTGTCTGACAAAATAAATGAGTTTATTTCTGGAACTATAATGGACAAATAACAATAAGCGGCACAAATTCGTTTAGAAATGTGTTTACTTCTCTTTTCACTGCTACGCCCTGATAAAGACAACAATCTTACATATTTTTTGGTTTGCTGGAAGGCAGTACCGAGAAAATAAACGTGGTGTAGTTTGTTTTTCAAAAAACCGCTAAAAATTCTTTTGGCCTAGCGGCGACATAAGAATGCAAATTTTCATTTGAATCAAACAGGTCCAAAAACAGCTATAGCATGCAGAATAGGAAAAAGATATGAAAACTATATGTTTATAAATTGATAGAAGAGATGTTTGAGACTTGATTGGGGATAAAATAACGGTTTTAGCTATTTATTGAAAGCGGTGGTGAAATTGAGTGGTATTCACACATAGATCTGACCCTTGCTACGCTAAAAATTAATAATCAAGTGCCCCACGTATTGTCTCAATGAAACTCACGTCATGAACTATTTAGATGTTCTTCTAGAACATATCCAAAAATCAGTTTGGGTTATTGTATTTAGGGTTCTTACGGAGGCCGTGAACATTGGGTATTTTCGACATATACCGTGACTGAAATCGACAAGTGTTTCTTGTTTTCCGGTCGCTATTTTCTAATTGGTTTCTATTTTCATCCGGAATTTAAACCCGAAAATGCATTTCCTTTTAAAAAATACCTCTTATTAGCAATTTACATTATTCTATTAGCAATTTTACATTCTGCATTTTCATTGGAGATCTGCACGGGCTCAATGCTAACAAGTTTTGAGTTTTATCATGCAGGCCTGGTTACAAAAAAATCAGCTAGCAGCCTTAAGCCTTATTCACACTAGCGTCGTAAGTGGGTAATCGTAATCGTTATCGTAGTCGCAATCGAAGGTTACGCTCTAGTGTAAATAAATACGACGCAAGCAGAATCGTAAGCCTCGCTTCCTTGTTTTTTCCCCGCCATCTTCGAAATATTCATCATCATGATGATCGTAACAAGCGTAGTGATTGGCCAATCCTTACGATTACGATTACACCTTCTTGGTTCACACTCGATCGTAAAGTGACTGTAATTGTAATCGCAATCGTAAGGAAATAAAACCTTCTGATCTTAGCTTACGATTACGACGCTGTTACGATGCACCTTACGACGGCGCTCAAGATTACGATCTTTGGCTTAGTGCAGTTTTCGTATGACTGTGAAAAATTCACGGTACGAACACGGTAGTGACACAGCAAGGGATACACCAGACAAATCACATTGCACGAGAATTTACTCTCCATCCAATCAAATGCCCGGAACACGGCATATACACGGCGCGGACACGGTCACGCCAAGATCACGGCACTTTTAGACCAATCATATTGCGGGTGAAAAAAATCAGGCAATTAAAATTCTAGAAAGTATCACGGTCAAGGCACGTCACGCTTACGGCACTGAGCTTTACACAGTCATATGAAAACTGCACTAGACTGAGTTTTAACGCTCCTTACGGTTGCGATCATGATTACGATTACATTTACGACGCTAGTGTGAATAAAACTTTAGAGATAAAACATAAATATTTTTTAAATATCACTTTGCATTGATTGACAAAGGTGGCAATCTGCAACTTGAGCATCAGAATTGGCTTTATTCCTCATAACCATTGTTCCTTCATTTTTATTTCAAAGCCCCACGTACACTTTTTTAAATATGCATGATTTCTAAGATATCCCCTCTGAAAAAATCATTGGTAATCTGCCATTACCTTTTAAAGATTTCAACAGGCTTGTCTTTCCTGCACGGGGTGGTCCTACTATTGTTACCAGCACACGCCTATTTTTTGTTTTGCCTCTTATAAGGGCTTCTTTGTAAGCTTCCAAGGCCTCAGGACTACTGGCAAGAATTTCAGGAGGGGCTATCGTTTCTGTTTCTGCTTCCGCCTCTGCTTCGGTTTCTGCTTCATCATGAAATGAATCAATATCAGAATGTAATTTTAAAAGGTAAGCCATTCACATATGAAAGGTCGCCTATATTTGACAACATGCCCACACCTTTAGATAATTTATGCACAACTCCTTGATCAAAGGAGTTACGCATGTTAAATGAACTCCTGGGCCCGGTTGCATAAAGCTCTCCTCAGATAAGAGCATCCGTAAGTATTGTTACAAAACAATAGACCATTGTACTAAGACAATACATACGAGTTTTTTTAAGCTTCAAAAACTCATGAATAATTTATAAGCCTTTGGTCCAATTGGAGCCACCATACACGTCACGTGCATGGACCTTTATACCCAATAAAGTTCCTCTTCATTAGTATTCTTTATATAAAGAATACTAATAAGGAAGATCTTTATATCCGATAAAGAACTCTACACTAGTAATCTTTATATAAAGAATACTAATAAGGACGACTTTATCAGAGATTTCCAAATTTAGATGAAGACTTAGAGCCTCATCAAGGTCTGTCTCACATGCGATCACCGACGACCCACGAAATCTAAACGACTAGCAATCCTGTCTTGATACTAGCATGCTGTCTTTAAAATGTGGGATGCTTTATTGGGAATGACTGCACATGATAGTGACGTACAAACCTCAACTGCGCATGACAGGTACATACGAAAATTGCTATCGATGTATATAAAAGTCCATGTTCGTGATGTGTATGGTGGCTCCAGTTGAACCAAAATCTTATAAATTGTTCATGAGTTTTTGAAGCAGTTCAAAAGACTCGTAAATCGTGTTTATCAGGTCTAAAACCACTCGGCTACGCCTCGTGCTTTTACACCTGATAAAACACTCTTGCTCGTTTTTTAAACACTACTTTTTCATCTTAAGAGAGCTTTATGCAACTGGGCCCAGAAATGGAAAGAGCACTTCAATATTGGTATTTTACAGCTCATATCGAATGTCGAAAAAATAAACAAGTAAAGAAAGAACTCAAGACAGGAATCGTTTACAAAATTAAATGCAATGATTGTATGATATATATATTTACTTTGACCAGACTGCAAGCGCCCTCAAGACGAGAACAAGATGAGAAAGCAGTATTCACTTTGGACCGAAATTCCGTTCTGGCTCAACACTGTGTGAAAACCAACCACAGTGGGTTTCAGGAATGTGGACATCGTCGATTACGAGCCACATTGGAACAAAATACTTCTTATAGAAGCGTCGCATTCTATACGTGATATACATTAGAAAGTAAGCCGTGCCTTTGCATCGAAGAGAGACGAACGGTGAGCTTGCAATGGTAGAGACACGCGAATAATTGTACAAGGTCTTAAAAAAATTCAATGTACTAACCTTGATATTTAAGGTTACTTTTTACTCTGGTAGAAAATCCATCGTCTTTGTACTCGTACAGACAGGATAAAGTTAGCAGTTTATTCCTCTCATCGTATTCATTCCCTGGATTGATATTTTCTATCAACTTTTCCATCATTTTTTCATCTTTTTCTCTTGAAAAAATTCCCGCCATGAACATGAATGTCACATCGCTCGTTTTCTTTTTCTCTGGGATTTGTTTTTTCTCTACAAACAAAAAAGCACAAAGAAATGCTTGAATCGTTAAGTGGGTGAACGTAAATTCAAGTAGTGGTTTCTCGAATGGAAATTTCCTAACGCCAGGACAACAGTCAAGTAATCCACTCGCTTTCAGGTTTGTTATTTCTTCATCGTTTAGATTGAATTTTTTCATATCGTTTTCGTTGAAAATATATTTATCTTCCATCATTAAATTCACCGCTAGTTCAGCTAGTTTATGTAATATTTCTTGTACTTTAGTTTCTTCCATTTTTTCGTATTTAGAAGAGGAATGTTTCTTGATAAATTCTTTGATTACTTCATGATAAAGTTCTGTTCTTGTGATGGGTAGTTTTTCTGTGGTTTTTGATTCAGTCATGTACCATTTAATATAGAGGCACATTAGAAAACACATCACAGGAATGTGACCAAAACTTAAAAGAATTTCATTTGTTTTGATGTGATTAAGTACTTTGTTCTTCATGCTTTCGTTGGCTTTAAAATATTTTTTGATGTATTCTAGCACTTGAAGTGAAGAAAATCCTTGAATGTCACATCTCACATCAAAGGCAATTTCTTTTAATTCCTCGGCTTCTTCAGGCCTCGAGGATATCAGGACCACTGCACCGTTTAACATCTTTCTTTTCATGATTTTGGCAAACAGAGCAGGAACAGGTATTTTTTCATGAGGGTCGTTTGAATATTTCTCCTCAAAGTCCCCGGTGATTTTCTTTCGTTGTTTATACTCATCATATCCATCGAGGATGATGAGCAGCTTCTCAGGATTGTCAATCATGTATTGCAGTAATGACTCGTCTATCACCGAGTGCTCGTTCAGTAGGAAGGACTGACTTAAGATATCACGTAAGCCAAGCCTTTTTTTTTCTGGAAGAACAAGTTGACGGAATGTCAACAGGAACACAAACTGAAAATCAGGTTTTTTGGCATTTTCTTGACCTTCCTCAAACAAACGGTTATGCGACCAATCCCGTGCCAGCTTCCGACAAAAAAGGGATTTCCCAATTCCTGCTTTGCCCGTCAACAAGATAGATTTAGGAGTGGTCGTGCAAGAAGCTGCAGATTTCTGATCATCATTTTCCGGGCAAAGAAACATTTCTGAACAGTTCGTGAGTTTTTTACTACTTGCTTGAACTTCATCCAATTGCCTCCTGCCAAATCTCCTTTCTTCAGGTTCCTTGAAGTGTTTTGGACCGCGTTGGATAGTCGCACTCGTAAAGATGTCATCGGTTCTAATTTTCTTGTCTTCTTCCTCTGACAACAGAAAATCGGTTTGTTGTTTGATTGATGACTTCAGTTTCTCTGTATATTCTGAAAATCAAAACACAACAATTTAACACCAAAAAGACAGGAAGAAAAGGCAAGAGTAAAACAGGTTTTTTTCCACTAGTTTATTTAACTATGGGTATTTTTCAAAATTTATTATCCATCTATTGATCTATATCTTCATTTATCTATTTATCATTTATCTATTAATCAATTGATGCAATCACTTTATTCATGTTTTATGCATTCATTCTGTATTAATTTATTAAGAGAGAATTCTTTTCGTAT